AGGTGTGAGGTGTAAGTAAGCCCTGTAATAAGTCCAGATTAAGGACTGTAAACAAAACCTGCAAGGAACTCACGTGTCAGATAACAAGAATGTGCAAGTAGTTCAAGTTTGAAGGCACACAAGTCACACAAGACAGCCCTAAGAGTTCAGGCTGGCATGAAGTTTAGGTACTACCCTCTTGAAGTTAGTTGGCTCAAAACCTGTCCTATGAATAGTAATCGGGTTCTAAGGAGCTCAATATCATTGGATTGTTTTCTATGTTCATTGTTTTGATTTAGCCACTTAACTGGAGACCAAAATATTCCAAGAAAACAACCCTCAATGAGTGTAGTATCGAGTATCTACCAACTTCGGACTGCACCAAAGTCGGTCATCTCACTACCCCTAAAGAGGCCAGGATGGTCAAGTAAGGTTCTAAGGTAAGTTGATGCTTCACGACACCACGCGGCGGCCTTGTACTCTCCTTGACTTGACTCAAGGGTTACCGGTACTCACCAAAGTGCCACATCAACGTAGCAACTGCTTCAACCATGTCGGTATACCCCGCACAGTTCCCTCACAGTTTGTTGCTACTTCTAAAAGGGTATCCCCAGATCCGGGTTAGGATCTATAGAACTCCGATGCAAGCCCACAAATATAAAAGCAAACAAGGCATACAATTGAAAACATAGAATGATCTAATCCTAAGGTACACCTCACTTATAATTTTCCCCAGCAGAGTCGCCAGTTCTGTGATCGGTGGAAATAGAACTGACTATTTTGAAATGCTGGTTCGCGAAATGTCGCGGTAAGCAAGAGTCCCCACCGTCTTTTATTTTCTCCAACAAGGAAAGGACAAAAGCACAACAAAATTCCTTTTCGAGATGTTTCTCAGTTCGGGAGGTAGATTATAGAAAGGGAAGGTGTTAGCACCCTTTCTATCCGTGGTTATCCACGGGCTCTTAGGTACTTGCTCACTATGTTTTCAAAAATGTTTTCTTTTCTTGTGTTTGTGGGTTTTGAAAAAAGTTTGTTTTGAAAACTTCTAGGTAACTCTTGTATCAGTCCTCAAGAGTGTATGAAGTGTTTGTTTGAAAACTTTTTGAAAATGTAAGTGCGAAAAGTTATTTTTGTTTTGAAAGAGCAAGTACCCAGGAAAAATCTACCTACTCTAAGGAATTAAGCTGTGTAAATGTCCTTTAGACAGTACTATCCCACTATTGAGAAGTAGGTAGCACCGTCGTTGGAGTTATTCGGGTCAATTAGATTATAGGGACATGTGTGGTCACCAAAGCAATAGTAGGACACCTTAGCGGTAACCCTAATGTCAGATCTTTTTTATCCGAGGCAACCGTTTCGAGGCAACTGGATCTTTAGACAAGAGGGCGACCTCTAAAACACCCTATACTCAATGACTACGTCGAGGCAACCAAGTGAGGCGTACCCTAAGAGTGGCATGTGCAAGTGTGTCAGATTTCATGTTAAATTGTCTTTGCACATTTTTATGGTGAGCTACGAGTTGATTTTATTTGTCAGGCAAATCTTGTCACGCATAATCAACAATTAATAATTGTACGGAAAATAAATGGCTGAAAGTAAATCTATGCTATTACAAGGCGTCGGGTATTTACATCGCCAAAAACATAACCCTTGGAAAAGTAAATGCGAGAAAATAAAGAAAGCGATAAAAGCCCTAATTATCTATTACATTCTCGGAGCAGATACATAAATATGATCAAAAAATAATAGGCGCGAACAGAAAGTAAATCGGGGACGTCCTTAGGGTTTTGACCCTTTTTTAGAAAATAATGGAATTTTGGTCCTTTTTGCAATTAATTAATATTAAACCTAATTTACTAATCAATTAATAAAAGAAAAAAGTATTTTTTATGTTTTAATGAAAATAAAATAAAAGAAATTAAAATTGTCAAGAAAACCCTAATTCTAAATTTATTTTATTTATTATGAAAAAGTCAAAATTAAACCTAATTAGACTAAATTAATTTGTTAGTATTTATTTACAAAATAATAATTAAAGGTGAAATTAATAAATAATAATCATAATAAGAAAATATTGTTTTCTGAATTAATTATGAAAATAATTATTTGTTAGTTAATAATAATAATTAGTAATAATAACTAGTAAAAGAAAATAAAAGGAAAAGAAAATAAAAAAAGAATAATAAACCAGGGGGTGATGGGCCCAGATGGAGGTTTGTTCTGGAAATTGGTGGCCCATTAACATCAAGCCTTGTTGACTTTCTTGAATTGTCCAGGCATAGTTGACTAGGGAACATCACGGTCAGCACCTCATGGCCATTAGATCAATGCTTAAGGACACATGGCGCCTGGGATTGGAACGTACACGGTGGACATCATTGGGAATCCTGCATATGATCAGGTTATGAAAAATAGAAACAAATATTGGGGGACCTGGGAATCGAACCCAGGTCCCAATGCCTATTGCGCGTTTGGCTTTACCACTCCACCAACTTGCTTCAGTCATTAGTAAAATAAGAAATAATTAATATATTAAATAATTAATTCCTATGCTGTAAAAACCAAAACGCGCGCATATTTTTCAAATGGCCCAATGGTATATCAACACGTCTTCATCTTCCTCGCTGAATACCTGCAAAAACAAATCAAATAGCGGGGGTTTTTAACCCCCACAATATGGAACGAGGAATAATAGCGATTAGGCGTATGGGCTACATAAATGTTTCACGATGGTGGCTTTGTGTCCGTCTCAACCTAACGAATCCAACCATGGGTCTCACAAGGCTTGATTTTTCCTGTATTGCAAAGCCCTAATTTGAAAGCTTGGAAACCCTAGAATTCTTCAATGGTAACTTGTGATTCTGGGCATTATAATGCAATTAACCAATACCATTAGCTTTGTATAGATTCAAGCAATGCAAAACAATGATTAAAACATATTAATTGTGCATGAAATATGAGTTTCGATTATGGAAAAGTCAAGCAAACCGTGGTTCTGTTTAGAGTGATTTCTCAAGCTTTAGCACGCGAATTTGATTGCAAAACGTTTCTCACACTCCCAGCAACGTGTTTGAATCCACAAGAGTCCTTGAACTGGCCTGGAATATGGAAAACAGTTTTCACTTTTCTTTGATTTTTTTCAATGGTGCTATGGCTTTTCTGCAGCAATTTTTCGTCCATGGCATTAGGTTTAGCTTGTGTATATATAGTAGAAGAGAATTAGGTTAAATCTTTGCCAAAAAATCCATTGCATGATGGTTTGAATATTTGATTTGCAATCACATCTTTTTGAATCTTTTTGATTGAAGAAACTTGCCAAACTTGGAGATTTTTGTCCCTTTGATTTTCACATGAATTGCCAGCATATCTTGAGCTTGTTTGCTTCACAAAAAGATTGAAAAATATCAAATCTTTGTATTTCCTACATTTTAAATTAATTAAATGAATTAAAATCAATTAAAAATCCAATTAATTAATAAAAAATAATAAAATAAATCAATTTAAGCTAAATGGATCGTGCATAAGCTTTGGAGAAATTTTCAAGAATAAATTTGAGGCCCATTAGCAAAAACAAAGTGTTTTGAGCAAAGTTGACTTTTGCAAATTCACAAAAATTTCCCAACTTCTCCAATGCATATCTTGCTCAATTTTGATCATATGAACATTTTTCTTGGACATTTTGGAAAGGTATTGAAGTCCTATAACCAATGCCTTTGGTCCCATGTCATTTGGATTTACCAATCTCAAGTTATGGTCTTTGACTTAAAGTGCATTTTTGTTGACTTTTGAAATTGACCTATAATGTAGAAATTGATAACTTTTTGTGAGGGCATTTCTTGGACTTGGAATGTGAAGATGAGTTGTAGGAAATGTCATCGCCTTCAAAATGAGCATTGGATGGGATTTTTCTGATGAACCATGAAAAAGTTATGCCCTGGTCAAGATACAGTTGACTTTTCTACTGTCCAAAAATAGTAACTTTTGCATCCTTGATGATTTTTGAGCCATCCTTGTGGAATCATGATCAAGACTTGATCAAATGATGATTGTGGACTCAAAATAAGATGTTGACCAAAAATTCTGACTTTTGACTGTAAAATGACCATTTTACCCCTGTAGTTGACTGTAGGACAAATGAAGCTTTTGACTGTACAATTTGACATTGTGAGTCTTGAGACTTGACATGTAGGTGCTTGACAATGTATATAGGCCTATGGGACTTGATTGGACCATTGAAAATCCCAAATTCATTGAAAGAAACAAAACCCTAATTTTGACTGTCTTAGGAGGCATTTGGACTGTGCAACCCCTTGAGAAATCTTGAATCATTTGAAGATGATTCTTGACAAATCTTGAAGAATATGGGAGGGAAAATTTAGGGGTACAACATATGTGAATAATCCCACTGGGTTCCAACTCCGCTATTTCCCTTATGTCCTCAAGCATCTCATCACTTTGCTGCTTGGTTGAAGATGAATCAGATTGACTAGTGTCTTCTGAGCTTAATAGTTGATACCGAAGTCTTGATGCTAGGTGATCCAATGAGACATAGTGTTACGCTTTAATCCTTAATTTTGCCTGGACCGCCCTTTCGGGTTATCAGTCCACCGGGATACCCTTTTTTGCCCAAGCCGCCTTTTCAGGTTTTCGACTTACCGGGTGTACAGATTTTTCATTTTCATCCCTTATTTTTGACCGAACCCTTTTAGTTCACCGGGAAACCCTTATTTTTTCCTAGGCCAGTCAACCTAGAGGGTCATTGATTATGTGTAGTATCTTTTCACTATGTCTGCATTGACGGGGTGAGGAAGGTCGTCACCATCCATGGTGGTTAGAATCATGGCTCCTCATGAGAAAATGTTCTTAACCACAAATGGCCCTTCGTAAGTAGGGGTCCATTTTCCCCTGGGATCACCTTGAGGTAATATGATGCGCTTGATCACCAGATCCCTAACTTGATACTCTTGTCGTCTGACTTTCTTGTTAAATGCCTTGATCATCCGTTTTTGGTACGTTTGACCATGACAAATAGCAGTAAGTCTCTTTTCGTCGATTAAATTCAGTTGATCAAGCCGGGTCTGAATCCAGTCATCTTCACTCAAACCTGCATCCTTCATAATCTGAACAGAGGGTATCTGAACTTCAATGGGAAAGACTGCCTCCATACCATATACCAAGGAACACTACTAAAAAAAAGACATTTGAGAAAAGGTTTTTACACCGGGTATCAAAATATATGATGTAAAAAATACAACTAACAAACTTTTTACATCAGGTATTTATTTGCAATGATATAAAAAATATGAAAAAAAATATATTTCGCTACCTATTACATCGGGCAAACGCATCCACCGATGTAAAAAGTTTTCAGAAAAAAATACGGTGGCATTTTTGTAAATAAGAAACAAGGTAGTAGAAATATTAAAAAAAAACATGCAATATATTACATCGGTTGACTAAAAACCGATGTAATATCTTCACAACAGATATTAATATAAAAAATAAATTAAAGAATAGAATAATTTTTTCGCAACTTATTACATCGGTTGAAGTATAAACCGATGTAAAAAAGCCAGAAAATCAGCTTGCATCAGTTATTACAATGGACCGATGTAAAAAAGCCAAAACCCTTACATCGGTTGTAAGGTTCCACCGATGTAATAGGTTGTCCACTAAACCAACCCTTACATCGGTTATCCTATTCCACCGAGGTAATAGCTTGTTAAACCCTTATTTCACAAATTTCAGTATTTCCACTGTATAATATTCTCCTTGGCCGCCGTTTCCACTCTACGCTCACGCTCACGACCCAACCACCGCCGTTTCACTCCTTGCCACTGTACGCTCACGCTCACGATCCAACCACCACCGTTTCCCAGCTACCATCATCGACCGCCGTTTCCGAAGGTTTTCGACCGCCGTTTCTGTTCGTTTTTCCGCCGTTTCAAATCAAACATCAGCCGCCGCTCACCATCACCATCGCGCCAAACCTCAGCCGCCGGTCCCTCTCGCGCGACCTCCCTTCCTCTCTTCTCACACCGCCTTCACAAAACTTGTCGATATTCCGGCCACCACTCCAACAAAGGCTATCACAGCTGTTACTTCCATTTTGTGGGAAGATTTAGTGAATAGTCCTGTAAAAGATGGGTATGGTGAGTTTATTAATAAGAGAAAAATCCAATATGCTGAGAAGATGATTATAAGTGCTTTTGTTGAGCTTTATACAGGTCTTGGCCTTCTCAAAACTTACAGGTATAATTATTTATTTCTCAAAATAAGAGAAATAACGTGTTGATAACAAACTTGTTAGTTCACCAACGTATCTAAATTTTTCATTTATATCTCTATTTACCAGGTAGCATGCCAAACAACTTCTGCTAGTTACTTAAAAACAGTGAAAAGATCACATTTCATCAGTTCAGATAAGGTATTTCATTTTATATATTAACATTATGTTATAAATATAATAATTAATGGTTAATTAATTGTATATTAATATAGTATTTTGATTATTATTGTCATTATTAAAGGTTGTTAGACTAATGGATGAAGTGGAATCCATTTTCACAAAGAACTTTACTAGAAATGATAGAAAAAAAGCAATGAAGTTTTTAAAACCTCAAGTGCAGAAAGGTTCTCATATGGTCACTTTCTTTGTCGGTAATAACTTCAACTATTTATATAATTTATATATTCAATAAATTTTTTAATAATATAGTCATCTTAAAATTTAAATTAATTTAACAATTTTATTTCAACTACATACAGGTTTATGCACTGGTTGTTTTGTATCATTGTTTTGTGTCTACGCAATCTTGGCACACTTGTGTGGAATATTCTCTCCTAACACAGAACCAGCTTATATGGAAGCAGTTTATCCTGTTTTCAGGTGCAACATTTCATAGTTCCTAGATTTTATTTTATTTTATTTTATATAAACAATATAAATTTTATGAGGTTCTTAATTTAATGGTTACAATGATTTTTATATTATGCAGTGTATTTGCATTGTTTAGTCTACACTTGTTTATGTACGGATGCAATTTATATATGTGGAAAGCGACAAGAATAAATCATAATTTCATATTTGAATTCTCGCCGACCACGGCGCTAAAGCATAGAGATGCTTTTCTGATTTGTAATGTCTTCATGACTGCTGTGGTTGGAGCGATGGTCTTGCACCTTCTTCTAAGGGCTGCGGGGTTTTTTCCTGGCAATGTTGACGCCATTCCCGGAATTCTACTTCTGGTTAGTTTTTTTATGAAATTTGAGCTTTGTTGTTTGATGCTACATATTATAATATCAAACTTTTATCATTGAGCTAACACTTTATGAACTACCTGTATTTTTTTCAGTTTTTCATAGCTATGCTCATTTGTCCATTAGACATTTTCTATCGTCCAACTCGATTCTGCTTCATCAGCGTTATTCGTAACATTATCTGTTCTCCTTTTTATAAGGTATATTTTCTTTATACTATCTTTTTTCGAACAATTAGATAAATTGATAACGATATAACATACTTCATGTGTACAAAATGAAAGTTCTAATTGTTTGATTCGATTTACTATTCCTACATGTTCTTCTGGAGGATTTTTTTATGGCTGATCAACTAACTAGTCAGGTAAAATCTTTTATCCTTCAACGAATTTATCCTATTATTTTCATTTGTTTATCGTTACACTTCTTAATAACATTTTTTATATATCATCGTATACAGATACCATTGTTAAGACATTTGGAAACAACGAGTTGTCACATTTTATCCCGGGTTTTCAAAACGCACCACCCTGAAACCTGTAGTTCCGGAAGATTATACATGGAAATAACCTACATTATCTCATTTTTGCCATATTTTTGGCGTGCCCTTCAGGTATATTAATACACCCTTAATGTTTAGTACTAATCTATATTTCTAAACTTTCTATTAACATTACTAAATTAAATTTTACTATTTGAATGTGAATACTAGTGTGTAAGAAGATGGTATGATGACAGTGATGTTGCGCATTTGGCGAACATGGGGAAGTATATCTCTGCAATGGTTGCAGCAGGAGCTAGAGTAACATATGGAAGACAAGATAACAATATAATGTTTTTTATTGTTATAATCACATCTGTGACAGCTACAATGTATCAACTGTATTGGGATTTTGTCAAAGATTGGGGATTTCTTAATCCTAACTCAAGAAATGCATGGCTAAGAGATGATTTAGTTTTGAAGAATAAAAGCATATACTACATGTCTATGGTAATTTCCATTTACCTCTTTTTAGTTTCAATGTTTAAATTATTTTTAGAATATACTTGTTTCTTTTAATTAAAACATTATGAGATATCAAAATGCAGGCATTAAATGTTGTGTTAAGAGTGACTTGGACAGAAACTGTTATGCATTTCAAAGTTGGGCCTATTCAAACAAGGTTGTTGGATTTTATGTTAGCTTCATTGGATTTTATGTCTACCGAAGATTTTATATTGGTAATTTAAGTTTGGAAACTTATAAATAGTTGAATATTTTTGTATATTTTGTGAATAATATGTAATTGTAAGTTTTGAAAAAAGACTTATAAATAGTTGAATATTGTTGTATATTTTGTGAAGAATTTGTAATTGTAAGTTTGTTTGTTGTAATACAATACAAGTTTGCAATACAATTGTTCAATTTGTAAGTTTGTTGTGAAAAATATGAAAACATTGACCTAGATGTGATATATGTGATGTTGGAAAGCTATGAAATCTATATAGCGACATAAATATAGTCTGTGTGATATTGGAAAAATATGAAAAAATGGGTACAAATTATATTTGTACAGGAAAACATCCAGAAAATAAATAATCTATTCCAAAAAAATTTCATACATTTTACATCGGTTATTAGTAAAAACTGATGTAAAAACTTTCAAAAAGGGACTTTTTACATCGGTTGGGGATAATAACCGATGTAAAAAGTTGCGTCACTGGGGACTTTTTACATCGGGTATTACTTCCAACCGATGTAAAAAACTGGATCAATTTTTAAAAAAAATGTGCATAATAACTGTTTCTTACATCGGTTCATATATTATAACCGATGTAAAAAAGGGACTTTTTACATCGGGTATTACTTACAACCGATGTAAAAAACTGGATCAATTTTTTAAAAAATGTGCATAATAACAGTTTATTACATCGGTTCTTATATTATAACTGATGTAAAAAAGAGACTTTTTACATCGGTCCCAGAACCGATGTAAAAAGTCCCTGATTTACTATATCGCCTGACTTTACATCGGACCCAGAACCGATGTAAAAAGTCAGTTTCACCCGATGTAAAAAGTCATTTTTGCACTAGTGGAATAGGGTGTTGCCCATGTTGACGTCCGAGCTGAGGTACGATACCCATGAAGAGAAAATGGTAACATCTCGTGCCAGTCTTTGTATGTCACCGTCATCTTCTGCACAATCTTTTTAATGTTCTTATTGGCCGCTTCAACAGCCCCATTCATCTTCGGCCGGTAGGGAGAAGAGTTGTGATGTTGAATCTTAAACTGCTTGCAGAGTTCAGTGATCATCTTATTATTGAGATTGGTGCCATTGTCCGTAATGATCCTCTCTGGTACACCGTATCGACAAATCAGATTATGCCGAATAAACCATGCCACAACGTTCTTGGTTACTGTAGCAAAGGAAGCTGCCTTAACCCACTTTGTAAAGTAATCAATTGCTACCAAGATGAAACGATGCCTGTTAGATGCTGTACGTCTGATCTCGCCGATCATATCAATGCCCCACATTGCAAAAGTCCAAGGTACCGTCAAGATGTTTAGATGAACTGGAGGTACATGCACCTTATCAGCATAGACTTGGAACTTGTGACAGGTCCGAGAATGCTGATAACAGTCGACTTCCATAGTGGACCAATAATATCCTGCCCGAAGGATTTTCTTTGCCATGGTGTGCCCATTTGAATGAGTTCTGAAAGTACCTTCATGTAACTCCTCCATGATCCTTTCTGCTTCGTTCTTATCCACACAATGCAGTAAGGTTGAATCATGGTTATGCTTGTAGATAATGCCATTGCTGATGAAGAACTTCGCCGCGAACCTCTTCAGAAACTTCTTGTCATTAACAGATGCACCTTCGGGTTACTCTTGAGCCTCAAGATACCTCTTCACCTCATGAAACCAGGGCTTTTCTGTTACCTCTTCAGTCTCAATATCACAATAATGTGCAGGTTCATCCAATCTTTCAATGATGATCCGGGGAGCCTCGTTGTCCCAATTGACCTTGAACATAGAAGACATCTTAGCTAGCGCGTCCACCAACTGATTCTCCTCTCTAGGGAAGTGTTCAAAGGTTATCTCCTCGAAATGGGGAAGCAACGTCAATACATACTCCTTGTAAGGAATAAGATTTGGGTGTTTCGTATCCCACTCGCCTTTGATCTAACTGATTACGAGAGCGGAATCTCCAAAGACACTCAGAAACTTAATCCTTAGGTCAATTGCTGCTCGAAGACCCATGATACACGCTTCATACTCCACCATATTGTTGGTGTAGTTGAAACATAGTAGGGCGGTGAACGGAGTATGAGAGCCTTTAGGAGATATGATCACGGCGCCAATGCCGTTTCCCAAAGCGTCTGAAGCTCCATCAAAGTACATAGACTATCGGGATCCCTCCTCAGGTCCTTCATCCGGTCTAGGTGTCTCACAATCCGTTACCAACATGATGTTCTCGTCCGGGAATTCAAAGTTCATAGACTGGTAATCATCCACTGCCTGATGTGCCAAATGGTCTGCCAACACACTTCCCTTGATTGCCTTTTGGGTCGTGTACTGGATGTCATACTCAGTCAAGATCATCTGCCATCTTGCTATTCTTCCGGAAAAGGCAGGCTTTTCGAAGATATACTTGATTGGATCCATCTTTGATATCAATAAAGTAGTGTGAGTCAGCATATACTGTCTCAGCCGGCGAGCAGCCCATGCCAAAGCGCAACAAGTTTTCTCGAGCAGTGAGTATCGGGTCTCACAGTCGGTAAACTTTTTGCTAAGGTAATAAATAGCATGCTCTTTTCGGCCAGACTCGTCATGCTGACCCAGCACACACCCCATTGAGTTGTCGAGTATTGTCAAGTATAAGATCAAAGATCTCCCCTCAACTGGTGGCATCAGAATAGGTGGCTCTTGGAGATACTCTTTGATCCTTTCGAAAGCGTCCTGGCATTCATCGTTCAAACGTACTACTTGATCTTTCTTCAGCAGCTTGAAGATTGGCTCACAAGTAGCAGTCATGTGTGAGATGAATCAGGCAATGTAGTTTAGTCGTCCCAGAAAGCCTCTGACTTCTTTCTCTGTTTGGGGAGCTGGCATCTCCTGTATGGCCTTCACCTTTGCAGTGTCCACTTGAATACCTTTGTTGCTTACGACGAAACCCAGTAGCTTACCAGATCTCACCCTGAAGGTGCACTTGTTCGGGTTTAACCTCAGTTTGTACAACTTCAGCCTGTCAAATAGCTTCTGAAGGTGGTCCAGATGTTCTTCTTCAGTTTGAGATCTCGCAATCATATCGTCGACGTATACCTCAATCTCATGATGGATCATGTCATGAAACAAAGCAACCATGGCACGCTGATACGTTTCCCCAGCATTCTTCAATCCAAAGGGCATGACCTTGTAGCAAAAAGTACCCCACTGAGTAACAAAAGTTGTCTTTTCCATGTCTTCGGGAGCCATTTTAATCTGATTATAACCGGGGAAACCATCCATAAAGAAGAATACCTTGTGCTGAGCGGTGTTGTCAACCAGAACGTTGATATGAGGTAGAGGAAAATCATCCTTGGGACTCGCCCTATTCAGATCCCTATAGTCAACACACATTCGAACCTTACCATCCTTCTTCGGCACAGGAACCACATTGGCCACCCATTGTGGGTAAGAAGTAACTGCTAGAAAACCAGCGTCAAACTGTTTCATCACTTCAGCCTTGATTTTCTCAGACATCTCTGAGCGCATTCGGAGGACCTTCTGTTTTACTGGAGGACAGTCTTCCTTGGTAGGCAGGCGGTGAACCACAATATCGGTATCCAACCCAGGCATATCTTCATAAGACCAGGCAAAGATCTCAACTTAGTCTCACAGCATCTGAATCAACCGTTGCTTCACACTGAGCTCCAGATTTTCACCGATCTTGACCTCTTTCCTCTCTATATCTGTACCCAGATTTACTGATTCCACTGGCTCTTCATGTGGCTGAATAACCCTCTCTTCTTGAAGTAACAGTCTTGCAAGTTCACCAGGCACTTCGCAATCATCTTCACCTTCGTCTTCGGCTAAGTTGATCGGATTTTCAAAGTCATAACTGGAAGTAGCAGAGTCGTTACCAGTAAGATCCAGAGTGGATGTAGACCTGTATATGTGAGTGTGTGTAAGATAGCTGTTTTGCAATATGTAATAAAAGAAAAACAAGGAGCGCAAAATTTGAAATGCAAGAAACGTCCAATGCTTTTATTAATGATATATGTAGATGACACATGTAAAGCCCTCACAAATGAAGCCACGGTGCCCCGGTAAGACACCGGGCCATAGAGTTTAAAACATTGTCTGTTACAAACTCAAAACAAAAAGTTTCATTACTGAGTAACAAAAGAAATAGGGATGAAGTCCTTTGCTGTCCAGTTGCTTGGTCCATCGTCGGTCGTAGGATAGATCCAGCTGTCGAACTCAGACTCTTCCACATCGTCTTCAATGGCATTCACTCCTGAACTGCCGATGAACAAGGGAGGTCTTCCGATTCGTGCATTCCGAACAGCCTTTTGAGCCTCTGCAGTGAAACCCAAATCAAACTTGTTAGCCTTCTATGTAAAATCAGGGAGTTGCCCCTAATTTGCACACCCACCTTTTTCGACAACAGCTCGGGCATCCTTGAAGGAAGCCATCTTCATAGGAGGATCTTCAACAACCGTCTCAGTTGATGCCAGCGTCTGGGGAACCTCTTCAAAATGTTGGAACGGGGTTTCAATGAACTCCCCATCCATCTCTACATATCGGAAAGAGTTGAGGTGGCTCACCATGTACTCCTCTTCCCCTTGCACTGTCATAATCTTCCCTTTGACCGGGTACTTCAGTTTCTGGTGAAGCATTGAGGTTACATCCCCAGCTTTGTGGATCCATGGGCGACCCAGTAAGCAAGAATAAGATGGCTGAATGTCCATCACATAGAATGTAGAGTCGAAAACATGAGAACCAACCTTAATCGGGATATCCACTTCTCCATGCACCATCCTCTTGGACCCATCAAAGGCCCTGACGACGATGTTGCTTGGTTTCAACTCCAACCCTTCACAGTCTAACCGGTCTAGAGCTTTCTTAGGCAAAACATCCAATGAGGAACCCGTATCCACCAATACATGAGCAAGAGTAGTGCCCCTGCATTCAATGGAGACATGCAGGGCATCATTATGATTCTTCCCTTTAGCAGTCAAGTCGGCGTCAGAGAAACCCAAC